GATAAACATTTGACCTTATTTAATAGGCTAGTTGCTAGCCATCAGTCAAGTGTAAATTCATAGTATTATGCTCGAAAGTCTAATAAAAATCCATAGTGATGTCTAATAGCTTCTCTAACGAGATCTGCATTTTTATTACATAGTGTCCTTGAATCATGAACTCTTAGTTATGAGATCAAATACCGAAATTTTCAATCAATTCCTTTGTCTTCTTCATCAAGTCTTTTGTGCTATATGATTCTGTGGGATGTTTCTTCTTGTCTTTGTTTTATTTTGCTATCAGACCAACTGCATGAATTTTTGGGTTGCAGGCGCTCTGCTATTCTACAATGCAGTACACATGTTTAATGTCCTATGTGCTTTGTTTGTGACTGGCTCAAAATAGACACAGTGATAGAACTTAATGAATGCTAGTAGTTAAAAGAATAGATCTCTATGTAGAAGAACATTTATCATTAGTTCATGTTAGTTGTGACTGGTGCTGTGGTGGTTGATGGTGTTTAGGGCCTAAAGGATGTTCTTGAATGATTGTTTCTGTAATAACATTGTCATTCATCTTGATTAGAATCTGTATTTTTCTGGTTGTATCCCAGTCCTTTTGGTTTAATGGATTAAAACTGGGCCTTTTATTTCCAATACGATCATTTAATTTTATCTGAAGCAACTCAAAGAAATAAAAGCTAGGGAAAGTTGCTTTCAATAGGAGGTGGTTAAGATGGTAAAATAGAAGTAAGATCTCACATTCTTGTTGTGTGATCGAAAGTTGTGGAGGACAGAGGTGAAATAGTAAGAAATGAATCCTGTGATCCTTTTCTACTTTTGCTTCCCTTGCTGATACATAGCCGATTGGAAATATGATATGAGAATAAAGATCACAATACTTAATGATACCAGGAACAAGTAGCGTTTTAAACTGAATACTAGTGCATGCTGCATCTACATAACTGCCATTCACAAAATACAGATAATTGGGTCAGGCAACGTGGATTTAATTATCCATAACTGGAAACTCTGAATTTAACCAATGCTCTACTTGACTCGTATTTGTTCCAGCGTAAATGAACACTATTATTTTAAATATACCAAATCTAATTCATTGTGGAATGCTACTTAATGTGCCATTTTCCCCATGTTATTTCTACAGTGTCACAATGGGCACACCATCTGCTCAACATGTAAAGAAAGGGTGCACAATCGATGTCCGACGTGTAGACAGGAGCTTGGTGATATTAGATGCTTAGCACTGGAAAAGGTGGCTGAATCACTTGAGCTCCCTTGCAAATATGGCTCTCTTGGATGTCCTGTGATATTTCCTTATTACAGTAAGCTGAAACATGAGGCAATGTGTAATTTTAGACCTTATAACTGCCCGTATGCTGGTTCAGAGTGCTCAATTGTTGGTGATATTCCTTACTTGGTTGCTCATTTGAGGGATGATCACAAGGTAGACATGCATTCAGGTTGCACTTTTAACCATCGGTATGTAAAATCAAATCCTCGAGAAGTGGAAAATGCGACGTGGATGTTAACGGTAAGTTGGATACAGTTATGTTTTTAAATAAAAAGAAGCTTTGTGTTGTGTATTAACATGTCCTTCATAAACAGTGCATCTGATATTTGATTAAGGCTCAAAATTTGGAAGATTTTGAATACTGATAATAGGCATCTACCATTTTGCTGTGTAGTAAATGGCTCTCTTTGATTTGACAGAAGTTGTTTCCATGATAAAATCATTTTTTGATGTTTGGTTGTTTCAAATTGACAAAAATGCTCAATTAAATACTTTTCCACTACATGGAGGAAGAACAGTTTGAGGACATAGGTCCGTTCTTCAATGAAACACTCTTTCTTTCCAATTCTATGTTACTTGCTCTAACCAACATATAAAACACTGTTTTCCATATTTGCTACTCACAATCATCATCAAACAATATTAGTATGTGGAGGTCAAGGATTAGGGTAGAAGCTAGAAGGTTAGGAGCTAGCCAGGCGTTGTCTAGTTTCCTTATCCTTATTCCTCTCATAATATTTTATTCTTTGATTTTATTATTACCTGCTGCCTCCTTTGCTTCAGTTATCGTATTACTTGTTGATACTGTTCTTTTCTCCATTATTTTGGTCACAATGACATTCATTACTGTATTTCCTTCAATACAGACAATACTGTATTTCTGTTTCAAACCTGCTTTGATATGTTTTGCTTGAGGCGAATGTCTATCAGAAACAACCTCTCTACCTCACAAGATAGTGGTAAGGTCCGCGTACACACCACCCTCCCCAAATCCCATTTGTGGGATTAGAGTTGGTATGTTGTTGTAATCATTCTCAAACACCACCCATGTACTTTCTCCGATATTATTAATCTCATTGATTATATATCCAGCCAAACAGCACTTTACTTACACAACAACTATGCCTTAGTCCCAAACAAGTTGGGTTGGCTATGAGTCCTCATTTTTCCATTTAAGCTCATATCATATTATCATCATACTAAATAAATTAAAAGTGACAAATAAGTAAAACATATAGGTAAATAATATAATAATAACAATATTAGAAGTTCTCTAGCAAGTCTAAAACCTATCCTCGACTAGTAGCTATCAACGTATCACCTATGTATCTTCTTCTTCCATTGTGTCCTATCTTTAGTTGAGTCTGCAACTCTGCATTGATTACCTCAAGTCCTCAACTATATATATATAAACGAATAATATCCAGCCAAACATCAGTTTCCCTGTAATTTATAAAGGACATTTTACATTCCTACTAAATGGAAGCTTAGGTTTTACATCTTACCAAACAGTTAAGATGATCCTCTTCAGATCTATGAAATGGGCTTTGCCAGTTTGGAAGTAGATCATAGCTGGTACGACGCCTTTGTTTAAGAGTATTTGGGTAACTTTCTCATGTTTTCTTCTAGTTTTTATCCTCTTAGAATTGTTTCTGATAAAGCCAAAGTACTCTAAAGCAAGATGGCGTAAAACTCTCTGTTTTTTTTTCATGCGTTTACCACTTTTTTCAGGTTTTTAATTGTTTCGGTCAGTACTTCTGTCTCCATTTTGAAGCCTTTCAGCTTGGCGTGGCTCCTGTATACATGGCATTTCTTCGGTTTATGGGAGATGAGACAGATGCTCGAAACTACAGCTACAGCCTTGAAGTTGGAGGCAATGGAAGGAAACTTATCTGGGAGGGTACCCCCCGGAGCATAAGAGATAGTCATCGGAAAGTTAGGGATAGCCATGACGGGCTTATTATACAACGTAACATGGCACTTTTCTTCTCTGGAGGCGACAGAAAAGAGCTTAAGCTACGTGTTACTGGAAAAATATGGAAGGAACAGCAGAATCCAGATGGAGGAGCATGTATACCAAACCTATGTAGTTAATACTGGTTGTACCTCACAACTCGTGGATTCCATTCTTCTTCTCGGATTACTGGATACTGTCGTTAGCGTTTAGCATCATCTTGATGTTGAAGATTCTTCTGTAAAACTATGGAAGTTGTGTTTATTTATCAAGTAGTAATAAGCTTTTTGTTCTTGTGTTTGATTTATTATCCCAGTAAACATCTCTCTGGTCATGTGTGCTGCTGAGTTTGTGGCTTCATTTTGAGTCACAATTACAAAATTTTAACTCGACTCAACCGTTATTGTTGGCTTGTATGAGTCCACCACGAGTTAAGAGACCAGATCCCTTGACAAAATTAGTAATAGAAGTGTTTAAGTAAATTCTTAAAGTAAAGAACACAAATATTTATGCGAAAACTTCCTTGCTCAAGGGATTAAATACAAACTTGAGTACTTACAAAGAATTGAGCTTTTAATTCTACATACCTTGTAACTCTATTATTACAAGACACAACAATAATTCTATTGGAGTGGGGGAAGTCAAAGAGCTTTTAATTCTACATACCTTGTAACTCTATTATTACAAGACACAACAATAATTCTATTGGAGTGGGGGAAGTCAAAGAGCTTTTAATTCTACATACCTTGTAACTCTATTATTACAAGACACAACAATAATTCTATTGGAGTGGGGGAAGTCAAAGAGCTTTTAATTCTACATACCTTGTAACTCTATTATTACAAGACACAACAATAATTCTATTGGAGTGGGGGAAGTCAAAGAGCTTTTAATTCTACATACCTTGTAACTCTATTATTACAAGACACAACAATAATTCTATTGGAGTGGGGGAAGTCAAAGAGCTTTTAATTCTACATACCTTGTAACTCTATTATTACAAGACACAACAATAATTCTATTGGAGTGGGGGAAGTCAAAGAGCTTTTAATTCTACATACCTTGTAACTCTATTATTACAAGACACAACAATAATTCTATTGGAGTGGGGGAAGTCAAAGAGCTTTTAATTCTACATACCTTGTAACTCTATTATTACAAGACACAACAATAATTCTATTGGAGTGGGGGAAGTCAAAGAGCTTTTAATTCTACATACCTTGTAACTCTATTATTACAAGACACAACAATAATTCTATTGGAGTGGGGTAAGTCAAAGTTGGCGGTGCTGTGAGATAAGAATATCTTTTTAATTACTATTAACTATATATATCTATGTGTTCCAACAGAAAACTCTACATTTACGCATATGTCGATGACATGTGGCATACAATGGATGTTTTTAAATTACTTGATCAAATAGAGAGATATTTTTAAGGTTGTCAATAGTTAAAGGTTTAAAATAATAATTCACGTCAAAATTTAGAGATATTTTCAATACTTATCTCAAACTTAAAATGAAACCGAAAAAATTAACAACTTCTATAAAAACAAAAATAAAAAGTTTGAAGTAAAGAATGTATGGTGGCTTCTCCACTCTTATAATAAAGAACAGAAATTTATACACATAAATATTTATTTATTACTTTTTAAACAAAAGTTTCTACTTCTTTAAAATTCACGTCCAATCAAAATAAATCACAAAAGTTAAAATAAAGAAAATACATACTCTAATAAGTTAGCTGAGATTCGTACTATTACTCTTCTATATAACAAAGCAAAAAACAAACCAAAAAAGTGACAAGATCAAAGTATAGTACACACATTTTACTTTCTCTTAGAAAAAATAAAATGGAGTTACCCATGGGTGAAGGATTAAGAAGCAGATCATCAGGTTTAAAACCAATAGAAACAAAGAGGAAAGGGGGAATCGAAGAGTACGATATGGTGACCGTGGAAGACGAGCCATTGAGTCCAATGGCTCGTCTTCTCCAAGATAGGAGGTTCGATGTCCATGCCGTTGCGTTTATGGCTTACAAAACTCGAATCTCACCACAGCCTGTGAAGGAAAAGTTGGTGCATACTTTGCTTAAGCATCCTCGTTTCACTAGCTTGATGGTATGTCCTTTTTTTTTTTTTTTTTTTTGCATGTTCCGTTTATGTAAGATGTAATTGGTTCTTGTCCGTGCATGACAGAGTCAAAATTTTCGTCAAAACATAAAAAAATTCCTCAAAATATAAAAATGTACTTAGAGAGCATGTCACCGAAGAAGGATCTAGGAGCTTAATATTATACTTGTGAACTACTAGGTGAAAAATTTATAAATAACTAAAATTTCAGTGACTTTCACGTACATATATCTAGATTATCGTGTCAAAATTATTGGTTCAACTGAATTCACTATTTGATGAACCTAGTAGCTTTTTCGTAGACTCTGTATTTCTGAACTCCTAACAAATTGATTGACGGTTCTAAAGGAAATTTTGAACCCCAAACTTTTTATCCTGGCTCCGCCTTTGTATATGCGCTAAGTTTTTTTTTTCTTTCAATTATCAACATGGATTTTTCCTTCGTAAAAAAACAAAGAAGAAGAAATGGCTCTAATTTAGCTTATCCTGCCTTACCCATCCACCGGTGGAATCAGAAATTTAACGAAGAATGTGCAAAATTTTCTTTCAGTTGTGTTAAAAGTGAGCAAAATTAAATAAATATTCATAATGTTATAATTTTGAAATGCCTGTTGCACGCTTAATGAAATGAATTATGACACATTTCAAAAGTCTTTCTTTTTTCTTAAACTCTATGCCGAGTCAAACTAAGTCGTATAAATTGGGATAAAGGAAGTAACATTTGAGTTCTATACACCACATAATTTTCCAGCAAAAAATGTGTACTTGACTACTCTTAGCCTAAAGTACTCTGCCCATGATCCTACTATATTTTTAGGGGTTGTTTGGTGTGGGAATAAGAATATATAGTCCTGAGATAAAAAAAAGTCTTGAAATAAAAAAATAGTCCTGGGATAAAAGTTTGGTGTCTTATTTGATTGATATATTTGGGATAACTTATCCCACCATTTATACCATAGTGATGAGATAATTTATCTCATATACAGGGTGTGATAAGTTATCCTAGAATAACTAATCCCAGGATAATTAATCCTGGGATAACTAGTTCCCAACCAAACGACAGAAAAGTTTTACTATCATCGGCCAATTATTAATTCCATTCCCATTATTAGTTATTTTTTTTTAGAAGCTAATATAACATTATTTATTTTTATAATTAATAACTACAAATCTCGATATATGAGAACATTAATTACTAGGACCAATTCTTACCTAACGAATATTAAAGAGGGATGACGAACTTTACCTAGTGTTGTTAGGTTAGGTATGGGGAAAATAGATAAAATTGAAAAGAGTCAATAATTATTAATTACTTAATAAACTTCATTTTAGCCAAAAATGTGTAAGCCGTATTAATGATAATTAGTAGGGGTGTGGTCGGTCGATTCGGTTCGATTTTATGTATTATCGGTTCGGTTTATTGGTTATTTTTAAATACACTAAACCAATAACAAACCAATAAGATATTCTTTATCGATTTTCAATTTATCAGTTTTTGGTCATTAACGGTTCGGTTTTCGGTTCACCCAATAAGAAAATGCTCATACAATAAATATATGATTTTTTACTTCTCTAATAATTTGGCGCGATATAGTGAGACAAACAAATCAGCTGTAAATGCTTTGATATAGTGAAACAAGAAATATAATGAAAAGTTACATCAATAAGAGTAGATGTATGTACGAAGACTACAATTACATGTTACAACCAAAACATATATGAAATTTCTGATGTAAAGTAGAAGTACTGTGACGTGTGTAAATCGTAGTGTAGAAAATTGATATAGTGTCTAGTTATATTAAATTATTAATATCTAATATTTATGAGGGATATAGTAGTAAATTTCTATCGTCTTAATGAGTTATCAGTCTATCAATAACCCAATACTAAAAATCGATACCAAACTGATAACCCAATAATTTTCTTTTATAAAACCATTAAAAACCTGTTAATTCAATAACCTAATAGCAATAACCCATTAACATTTTTTCCGATCCGATTTATTAATCGATTCAATTTTTACACACCCCTAATAATTGATACTCTAAAAATGTGAGCTTTTAGACCCATAAATGAGTCCCATGCGGTGTAGATGAAGAGAAAGATGCATGATACCGTGTGATGTGCCTAGTAATAAGCATATCTTAATGGTGCACGCCATGTATGTTTCTCCATAACATATGGAATTTTGTGACTTCAATATTCAATATTCCAACTACTTGTTCCGTCCATGTTTAATTTGACACATTTTTTTAATAAATAATAAAAAAATAATTTTATTAGATCACTCTTGTTAATTATATAAGTTAGAGAAAAGACATAAAGTCACTGAAGTTGTTTCGAATTTTAAAAAAGACACATTAACTTTACGAATATTCTATTAACCCATAAATGTATTGAATATCTTTGTAAAAGAACTATTTTGAGCCATATTCTCAGTTGGTAAGACACGTGTGAGCATCACATGGTATTGAATATTTTCTTTTCCATTTCTTAGCTTTCCATGTCTCTTCAATTTCTTGGTCAAGTGATAGTGAAGTGGAGATCATTTGCTTCATTTTTGACGCCTCTTCGTCAAAATTCTCGGAGGAATAGCTAAGTAAACAAGGAATTGAAGGTTAACAAGTTAATATTTTCTTACATTATTCGAAAAAGATTATATTTTAAGAAGAAATTAAACCTTATCACAAAAATATCTTGATTTCTCAAAACTAAATGAAATTAAGAAGAAATTAAACCTTAACAATTTCAAATTAAGTTTTTTCGACTAGAAATTAAAAGCGAATAGTTTTTGGGGGAAGATGATGAATTCCTCAGAGAGAGTTCCAACGACTCTTTTGAGCTTGTTTTGAGGAAGATGATGAATTTAAATAAAGTAAATAATTAATAAAGAAAAGAACTGAAACGTGACACCTTTTAATTGGTTTTTATCACAAAAAAGACATTCACGCGCGTGTTGTCCGTGTTCACAAATCAGGTGAAAAAGTAGGTCAAATTGATCCTTTTACAAAGATATTCAATACTTTTGTGGGGTATTAAGACGCCCGCAAAGTTAAGATGTCTTTTCAAAAATCTAGGACAACTTCAGTGGTGACTTTATATCTTTTCTCTATAAGTTATTTAAATGTTGAAAAATAAATATAGTATTCATAGTAAGAGCAAAATAGACATACAATAGTAAAGTATCTCTTAGTTTTCTAAACTGGACAAAAAAAGTTGGATAACTAGTTTTACAGTCTAGACAAGTAAAGATGGACAATACTTTCTTATGACAACATTAATTGCGTATTTATTTTACCAAATTATCTTTATTTAAGGAGAACCATGACACATGACTGGTAACGATGCTTTAACAGAAGATCACATGTTTGAGATGTAAAACAGTCTCTTATAGAAATACATGATAAAATTGTATACAATAGACCCTTATGGTCTGATCCTTTTTCAAAATCCACGTATAACAAAAGTTTAGTGCATCAGGTTGCCTTTTATTGTTTTTGTTAATAAAATTTTGAAAAATTGAATTTGATTATTAGTACTCCAATTCATTGGGAAAATAAATATTTGATAATAATAATTAAAAAAATTAAAATTCTGTCAAAATAGACTAGTAAAAATAGATTAAAAAAGATAACTTACTTTTAGTATATTGAAGAAACAAAAGGAAATAAAGGAAGTATACATTACACTAGTCTTGTAAAAAAATTCTTACATTATTAAGTCTAGACTCTAGTTATAGTCAAATTTATGTGTAATTATATTTTATTATATATAATAAAATAATAATCTATTTTCTTTTTAAAAAAACCGAGAGTATGTTTAGTTATGAAAAGGAAACTAAATCTGTCTAGACACAAAAAGATTAAAATTGAGTAGGGGTGTACAAAATCGAATCGAAAAGTAAAAACCGAATCAAGCTGCAAATCGAGTCAAATAAAAAAAAAACTTGACTACTGGTTTGATTTGACTTGGTTTGGTAGTGGAAGCAAAAAACTCGACTATACTCGGGTTGGTTTGATTTTAACTAAAAAAATTCAACCCGAGACCAAACCAATCCAACATTATATATATAGTTTTTAAAATTTATTTTATATATAAAAGTATTTATTTTGATGTAATTTCTAAATATTACTTATACGTTTTCACAATTTTCATCTTTTAACATATTTTTTCTAGTTTTTTGAAACTTGAAATTTTGAATGGTCCAATAAACGTTAGTCCATAGATATTAGGAGCTTTGATAAAGCTCAATTCAAAATTAAATTAATACTAATGCTAACAAAATAATTAATTCAACGCCAAGAATAACAACAATGTTGGATATTTGTTCTTTAGTTTTACATTGGTTTAGACATTTAAAATGCATAATCTAATTTTAATTTTTCTTTAATGTTTAATCATGTAATAATACTTATTCGACTTATTTTAACATGATTTAGTACTTTTAAATTATGATCATTTTCATTATGACATATCAATTTGCATATTTTATATGATTTCATTATTATTTTTATTGAATATTTTAGTGTCATCACTCATCTCACATTTTGTGTTATTTTTCTTAAGTAACACCTTAGATAATTGTATTTTGGTTGGACTTATAAAGAAATATTTGGAACATAAGTTAATTATATGTTTGTATGAATACTTAACCGGAAAAATTCAAAAACCTGAAAAAATAAATCCGAGGTTTATTAGTTTGGTTTGATTTAAAAATTAAAAAATTCGACACAAATGATTTGGTTTGGTATTTGAAAAACCTGAACCGACCCGAGGTTAAAAAACTTGAAAAAATCCGAGTTTTATTAGTTTGGTTTGATTTATAAATTTAAATTTTTTACACAAATGATTTGGTTTGATATTAAAAAAATTTGAATCAACCCGGTCATGTACCCCTAAAATTGAGCAAAAGATTTCAATCGAACATAAATTCACGAAGAAGTGATATCTCTTCAATCTTATGTGACAAAATATATGTACTAACAAATTTAATGTACACACAGGTTGTGGATGAAGAAAATTTAACAGACATGAAATGGGTCCAAACAAAGATTGACTTGGACCAACATATTATAATTGTTGAAGTAGATGAAACTCAGATGGAATCACCTGACAAGTTCGTGGAGGATTATATTTACAATCTTAGCAAAACAAGCCTCGATAGATCAAAGCCACTTTGGGACCTTCACATTATCAATGTCAAAACTCGTCAAGCAGAGTCCGTGGTTGTGTTTAGGGTTCACCATTCTCTTGGCGATGGCACCTCCCTTATTTCTCTTCTACTCGCGTGCACTCGCCAAACTGCTGATGATCTCAAACTTCCTACCATTCCCACCAAGAAAAGGAGGCCTACTCCATCAGGTAAATTGAGTCAAATGATAAGTCATAACTTAAGTTGCCTAATTTACTTTTATTAGATAAGTTGGGTTAAATGATAAGTCATAGCTTAAGTCACCCAACATGGCCCAACAAAAGGTGTCACATGGATATCAAGTTCGGTCAAAATTTAGTTTTTTTTTTTTTTGGGATATAGGTGGCAATGTGATTCGCTGAGTTATACCATTATGACACATTTTTGACCTAATTATTTGAGGGGTCATTTTGGGTTCAACCTGTTGGGTTAAGCAAACTAATAATTATTGAAGAAACTTACATAAATCTTACGTACTAGTTTAGGAGCTAATTATTTAGATACACTCTTGTTTGCAATATTAAGAATCTTATTAGATTTTGGTGCATCCAGTATCTCGAGATGTATGAGGTTAAAATTATGTGTAATTTGTTCTAGATATACTGTATCTAAGTGGATTCGCATGTATCTAGGATACACAACAAATCTCGCTCACCTCCTTTGCCTCCCTCTCATCTCGTTCGCCACTCTCCTATCCCAGATATATGCGAATCACACTAGATACATACAGATACATGTATCTAGTGTGATTCACATGTATTTAGGATACATGACTATCTGGCTCGCCCCTCTCTCTCTCCCTATTTTAGTGTATTTGGTAGCAAAAATACATGTATCTTCTTCAATATATGATAGAAAACTCTTAATAGTTGTGAGATACATAACATTTTGAAAGTATAGATAATAATCGAATGTGTAATTATGTAGACAAATTGAAGAAGCTGCCGCAAAATGAGTTAATTTTACATCTCTAATTTTTACTTTGGTAGGTTATTCAGCAAAGGAAGGGTTGTGGCGATTGTTGGGAAAATTTTGGCTTTTCATAGTAATGTTTGTGAATACTGCAGTGGATGTTTTCATGTTCATCATCACAACCATGTTCCTCAAGGATACCAAAACACCAATCAGCGCCCCGCCTGATTTCGAGTCTAATAAAGCTAGACGAATCGTTCATCGGATAATCAGTCTGGATGATTTGAAGTTTGTGAAAAATGCTATGAATGTTGTAAGTTATAATCAACCTCTCTTGTTCATATTGTTGTGAAAGTTTACAAGTGAAAATAATTAGCTAATCTTTTTTCTCCACAGACTATAAATGATGTTGCCCTAGGATTTAACACAAGCTGGTTTATCTCAATATCTTAATAGGAGATATGGTAAGTTATTTTTAGTCAAAGAGACGGATTCACAATTTAAATTTGATAGATTCGACCTTGATTCTCTCCGTTGAACTTGCTACATGTTCACAATTATGAGTTTTGATTTTAATACTTGTTCAAATGTTAATAAATTTTTACATTTATACCTCTAAATTATTTTATTGTTCCAAATATTCACAGCTATTGGTGGAAAAGACAAGGGAGCAACAGAGAGAAGCAATAATCTTCCCAATGGCATTCGACTTCGGTCTTTTCTTTGTTTTAACCTAAGATCCTCTGCAGGAATTGAAGTAACTTTCATGCACTCTATTTTTGTTACGATCTCTCTGTCTCATTTTTTATGTGACATTCAAATTTCGTTATAAAATTATATGACATACATGAATGAAACATTTAGGATCTAGCCAATATGATGGAGAATGGAAGCAAAGGGAAGCGGGGTTGGGGAAATTGGTTTGGTTACGCGTTGTTACCATTCAAGATTGCACTACGAGATAATCCTTTAGACTATGTGAAAGAAGCTAAAGCGACAGTTGATCGCAAGAAGCGATCCTTTGAAGCTTTGTCCACTTTGATCATGGCCGAATTACTTATCAAGTTTTTTGGGATCAAGGTATATATACATTTATGTATTTGCATATTTCAAGTTACATTTAATTTCCTTGATGTATACATTTATATATTTGCATATTTCATTTTACATTTAATTAGTAAAATGTAGAGCTATAATTAATAACAATTTTTGTCCTTTAGTTATTTGTTAATTTTGATACTTTGTATTATATATATATATATATTTAACTTTCAACTAATTTAAATTGTTAAAATGTGTTTAAGGTAGCTACAGAGGTGACTTGGAAAGGATTCTCAAATTCAACAATATGTTTCAGCAACTTGGTTGGACCACAAGAGGAAATTGGGTTCTGTGGCTACCCCATTACTTATTTTGCTCCATGTACTTATGGGCAGCCAAGTGTAAGTATTGCTACACTCTATTGTTGAGTCATTTGCTCTTTAATTTAATTGGGGCTCCACGAAGTTGGTGGCCTAAAATTAAATTATAATAAGAGGTCTTAATAAAATTAGCTTTTATGTGCATCACACATGCATCTTCAGCAGTGACAGAGTCAATCAAGATTTTGATTTTCAATAATTGTAATTGTAGGCATTGATGATCAATTTCCAAAGCTATATCAATAAGATGATCATCGTCATAGCTGTTGATGAAATTGCTATACCTGATCCACATCAATTGCTTGATGATTTTGAAGATTCTCTTAATCTCATAAAGAATGCTGTCATAGAAAAAGGGCTTGTTAAGAATCTGAAATGATCAAGAAATCCAACCAAATTATGAAGCTAAGGTTGTATTAGTAACTCTACTATATTAAGAACTTTTTCCAATAATTCACCAGCACTTGTGTACTGCTGCAGTAATTCTCTTTCCTAATGCTTTCAACTTGATATTGAAGGACATGGTACTTTGTAGACTACATTTTAATTAATGGTATTCATATCAATGTATTACAATTTATGGGAACTGATGGCAGTAATTTGGTTGCTTTCGGTATCTGTCCACTTTCGGATATATTTGCCATGAAACTAATGGTGGCATGAGGGATTAATTATCTGAACTTCTTTTCCATAAAGGGATGTACACAGATGTTACCACTACCTCGTGGAGGTAGATAAACTACCTGATAAGGATACTCTGAACCAAGAGGAAACATTGAGGACAGGAACAACAACAACAACAACAATTCTATGCCTAATGACTTGGGAGAAACTAAGTGAAATCCTCAGGTTAAAAATACAGACTCTAGTAGACTACCTACCTATGTAAAGAATCAAGAAGGGGTGAAGCTGGTTGTGGATCTCTTTGATAGTTTACCTCAACTTTTTAGCACTCAAGTAATGGTGGGAAAAAGGGACACTAAAACAAAAGAGGCATTTAGTGGCAATATATTTTCCTTTTAGCAACAATATTTTTTGCCACAAAAACTTTTAGTGCAATTGAATCAATGTCATTGCATTTAGATTTGCTAAAGCCTTTGACGACATTTATATAGAGTGTTGGTTATAAATACCCATCTTTATTGTTGCCGTTAAATATAATATAATGACAATTATATATTGTCGCTAAATAGTTGCCGCTAAAACCTCTATCTGTTGTAGTGAGATGAAAAAATGGGGGATAAAGGAAATGTGTTATGGGTGATAGGGCAGCAGGGACGTACTAGTGACAGGGGAAATGAATATGGTTGACAGGGCGAATGAATGTATCCTTTATTGGTGAAGAGGGGAACAAATTAAGAACGTGGTGAAAATGTGAAGTGTTTGTTTGCCATCATCAAAAAGGGGGAAAATGTAACTCTAATGTTTTGATGATCCTCACAAACTATGAGACCTAGTCCCATGAGTCATGTATATCTGGTGAAATGGAGAACAATTGGAAAGCGGTCGATCGATGGGAGGACACTAGATTGTTTTGTTGAGAGGATAATATATCCTCATTGACATGAAACAGTCCAGTTAAGACAATTGAATACATTGAAGAAAAGCTTTCTTTTGTCTCTCGTGAACACAAGCTTTCAAGAACTGGAAGGGACCTGATAAAGCTATCAAGTGTCTCTTTTGTTGTAGATCAGAAGCATGCGTCTTGTGCGTCATAACTTGTAAGATCAGTTCTTAATCTATAAAGGAATATACCGTGTCTTTATAAGCATATATAGTTAGAGTTAACTGTGTATGGTGTGATTGAAGTATATATTAACTAGAGGTCGTTGATATAGTGGGTAATAGAGGTATTACGTTGGCTCTCTCTGTAATAGGGGTGTTACAGATTGTAGTATTAAGAGTTTAATCCTTACATGTTTGATTGGAGTCTATATTCACTTGTTGCTTGAAGATAGTGAAGACAATTTGAAATTCTTGTGGGACAGGTCGTGGTTTTCCTCCCTTGAGAAAGAAGGTTTCCACGTAAAATTCTTGTTTGTATTTTGCTTTCAGTTGTTTATTTTCTGCGCAATTATTCTGTCAAGGGACTGGTCCATTGACTGCTAGTGGACGCATATATTCTATCAATTGGTATCAAAGTCTGGACTCTCTATCTGGTTAACACCTAGAGAGAGAATCATGTGAAAAATGGCTGCTCCACTAAAATTGGATGAAGGTCAATCACCAACTAGGCTACCTCTTTTTTTGTGGTCAGTTTTATAGATGGTGAAAAATTCGCATGGATGATTATCTAATGACTAAGGATAGTGAGCTATGATATGTTATTCTCGATGGTCCCTATGTGCCCACCATCAATGCAAAGGATGGGAATATCATAAGAGTTGTTCCTAAAACCCGACACCAATACAGTTTCACTGACAAAAGGAAAATTGAAAAGAATCACAAGGCCAAAAAGCTGTGGAGGGCTTGGATTTTATGGCCAGAGAAATTGCTAATGTTGTTTTATGTGCATTCCGGAATCCTGCCACCCCTGCACACAAAATTAAGCTTCAACCATCTGAAAATTGCAACTGTTACTTTGGGTTCGGAATAAACCCCTTGACTAATGACTATAAGGTGGTTTACTTTTTCTAGAACCAGATGATTATGCAGTGTCTTATTCCTATTCTACGGACTCATGGAGAATTTTCCAACCTAAAGATTTATACAAATCAATTCCCTTCCTTAAAAATGTGTTAGACATATTTGATACATGCTGCTATAGAGAGGAGAGATATTTTTTATAAAACCCTAACTATAATTACGTTCAATAATATTTTAAAACTATAACTATGCATAGTAAATACAATAGTTATGTTTGCTAGGTTATGTGCAAATTATATATACAAATACATGAAATGCTGCGTTTACTTCATGAGTGTAATAAAGTTTAAAGTTATAGTTGTCTTATCTCTTCAGAGTATTTATAAAAATCTTAGGGAAATCAACTACTTTTCTCTTCTCCTTCAGTTTTTTGCAAGGGAGTCTGCTAAAGGTTGATTAAGGTGTTTAAGAATTTAGTTCTCTACTGAACAAGCAAAAATAGACGAAATGAGTATTGTTTATGTATTTCCCTTTCCTTTTTAAGCTTTAAAGTATTTGTTCCAAATTATCTTTCAATTTACAAAATCAAGATGAGTTAATTTTTTTATTATTTTGCTTTTAAAATTAATTCTTCAACATAAATATTAAAAAATTTCAAAAGAATTCCTCCATTGTTATATTTTTTTCATGTACATATATATTTAGTCAAAAGTGCTGCATTAATTGTTTGAATAAGATACGTAAATATATTGTATTTAAAAGAATTAAGGATTAAATTAGTAAAAAATTGATTCTTATTCCTTAAATGACTGGTAAAGGAAAAAGTAATCAAAGTAATATGAGAAGGAGGGGGTAATATTTAGATTTACATGACTAATAACAAAAAAGAAATTTTAATATGAGAAATGAAGTCAAAGTATTTAAATTTTCAAGACTAAATGAAGAATAAAATTTAATATAAGAAATGTAATCAAAGTATTTAGATTTGCATGACTAATGTAGAATAAAATTAATTAATATAAGAAATGTAGCCAAAGTATTTAGATTTGCATGACTAAATGTAGAATAAAATTAATTAATATAAGAAATGTAGTCAAAGTATTTTGGATTTGCATGACTGAATGCAGAATAAAATTTAATGTTTATAAAATGAATTATGGTAACAAAAAATGAAGGATAAGAATGAGGGAATTTCCTCGTCTATTTAAAGAAGTAGCAAATTGCTTTTGTGGAAAAACCTAGATTAAAATGGATTATTGTGTGGTTAATTTACCTAAAGATATAGTGAATGAGATTCTGTTGAGCTGTCCTATCAAGTCGTTGTTGCAATTCAAATGTGTTAACAAGAACTGGTACGCTCTTATCAATAAGATGATCGAGAGTTGGACCATTAATCGCCGTTGAGCTTATTAGCATGTTCAATCAATTTCATAGTTCTAATGTATGCATTCAGTATTTGTAATTGAGCTTATAAGTATGTAAAATTGTTTGAAGATTTGAGTAGAGAATAATTTGGAGACTTGGAATTCCACCGTTGTTAATTTTTTTTCATGTACACATTTAATCAAAAAAGTGCATTAATTGTTTAAATAAATTCATACTACAACAAAACATACATTTCTGAAGCATACTCCTAATAGATCAACAACAGAGCATGTAGAAGAATGTTGGTACTTGGATCCCGTCCCATATTATTTTTTCACATTACTAAAAAATATTCATCCCGAATTAGTTAGCAATTTACAAAATAAAGATAATTTTTTCTTTCTATATAGCCCTTAAATTAATTCTTTTTTTGAAGGTGTAAACCGTATTGGTTATAAAGTTTCATAAGAATTCCTCCATTGTTAATTTTTTTTCATGTATACATTTAGTCAAAAGAGTATATTGATAAAATTAATTAAAATGTTAATTCTTATTTATGTAGTCAAGTATATAGATTTCTATGCCTGTAAACAATATTGATCACATACATAAATATTTTAAAAGTTTCAAAAGACTTATCCTCCATTGTCATTTTTTTTTTTATACATTTAGTCAAAAGAGTATAATGGATAAAATTAGTAAAAATGTTAATTCTTATTTATATAGTCAAAGTATATATTTTAAATGTGTACTGATTTCTCCCTTTATTCCAATTTATAATACATACTCAAGTTTTACTCTTGCATACAAAAGTTACGCTCACTTGTTTTAGCAAAATGCATTTTAACATTAAAAATAATAATATTCATTTGCATTTGTATTGATTGTATATATATTCATGGTACAAAAATATAGCAATATAAATGATATTCGATAGATACAAGCTGATATATAAAGGGTGATACAAAGCTGTATGTTGATACATACATTAGAGTGATACAATTGTATTCATTAATCTGTCACGTTGTTTACTTGCTTATAATAAAGGTAAAAGTTGTCGGTGTCTTGTCTCTTCAGTGTATTTTTAAAAGTCCTACAAAAATCAACTTGCTTGTTCTTTGGCGAAATGAAGTTCAATAATGTTTCCGATGACCCGCTTGATCCTAAGAAAGACGATCATGTTTAGAAAAGAGAAAGAAGAAAGACAACTGATATGGCCTCTATTGCTTAATGGACTATTTTATTTGGGCCTTTAGGAGTCTTTCCCATTATATGAAAGCAAGCTTACTTATCCAATATTTCACTCTGATGTATAGATACATATACATGTATAGATACTAGCATACATAGTCTAGAATAGATGCCTCCAGAAAATAGTACAAGTGGTATCTTTTGCTGTCACACAACTGTAGTTTGTTACAAGCTTTATTTTCTTACATTTCAGACCCTTTCTTACTTGTATATAATACTAAGTAGCTTTGTAATAGAGGATCACGATGAAATACAAACTCAAAAATTTCCCCAAATGATCTTATCTAGTTCATTTTTCTTTACTTCTCTTCATGGTATCGGAGCAAAACTAGAAGGATTCATCATCATTCTTCTTCTTTCCAATTTTTTTTTCTGATTCTC